AGCAGACATGAGGACATTGTACTGCACCAGACATGCCTGAAGAAAGCCCAGATTCAGCAATGCGACCTGTGACTCGGGAGTCTATGGGGTTGCCAACCTCCAGGTGGGGCCTGGAGACCTCCCAGAATTCCAATTGATCTCCAGACGACTGAGATCAGTTCCCCTGGAGAAAATGGCTGCCTTGGAGGGTGGACTCTATGGTCTCTCCCCTCCCCAAATCCCACCCTCCCCAGGATCCACTCCCAAATCTCCAGGAATTTCCCAACACAGAGTTTGCACATTTGGTGTCGTGGTTAAATGAGTAGAATCTGGGAGAACCGGGTTTGATTCCCCCACTCCTCCACTTGCAGCTGCTGGATGACCTTGGGCAAGCCATAGTTCTGACAAGAGCTGTCCTTGAAAGAGCAGTTCTCTCAGAGCTCTCTTAGCCCCACCTACCTCACAGGGTGTCTGTTGTGGGGAGGGGAAGGGAAAGGAGTTTGTAAGCCGCTCTGAGACCTCCTCCTCCTCCTCTTCTTCTCTTAGAATTGCCTGGTGGCCACATAGGTCCATGAGTTAACAACAGGCACTGGCCCATAGCCACAGTGGGGCATCCTGTGGCCACGCCCCCCCCCCACCCAGTGAATGGCTGCCAGCAAGTCAGCTCTCCAAGAGCTCTCCCGCAGGGAAGGCCGTCAAGGGACAGGCTAGCAAGCACGTCAGTTCCTGGGAAAACACGGCTCAGAGGGCATTTAAAAGCCTTTCTGAGTTCCCTTCCATGGGGCAAGGAAGCTTAAAAGGGCCCTTAGCAGTGGTACCTTCATCACTTCCCCAGTTATCTCCCTTTCTGCTAGCCCAGTCCCAAAGGCTCATGGGGATGTTTTTGAAGGACTCACCTCTTGAGTGCCTTTCTAAGCTTTCTTGCCCTGTGGAAAGGAACTCAAAAAGCATTCGAATACCCTCTGAGCTGTCTTTTCCTAGGGACCATGGTGGCCCCTCCAAAAATTCCACAGCTCCCCTTGAAGTTATATTTTTTGGTGACGGGGCTGGGCAGACGTAGGCTATGCTGTGACCTTCTTTGCCACTGGCCCAGTAGCATTAGTAGCATCTCGCCCAGGGCTTTTTTTTGTAGAAAAAGCCCAGCAGGAACTCATTAGCATACTAGACCATACCCAACAGCGGGAACTCATTAGCATATTAGGCCACACCCCTGACAGCACAGCTCATTAGCGTATTAGGCCACACCCCCATGTTACCAGAAGTGTGGTCATCCAGCCACACCCACCTTTTGCTTCTTATTCTCTTTACCTTGTTTGTTGTCAACACCCAGGGCTTTTTGCATGTTAGGCCACACACCCCTAATTGTAGCCAATCCGAATGAGTTTCTGCTGCTGGGTGTGGCATATTATGCTAATGAGTTCCTGCTGGGCGTGGCCAACTTGGGAGCCAGCCGGAACACCATTCCTGTGCGTTCCTGCCCAAAAATAGCCCTGATCTCGCCTCTGTTGCTTGTGCGGAATGCCAGCATTCTGTACATGCCCAGAGTTGCTTGCCCCAGAAAGATTGGGTTGTCACAAAAAAGAGGGCAAGGGAAACACAGTCCAACACAGTCTGCACTGGCCTGCAATTACATGGGGTTGCATTTGCAAGGGCCGCAGCAGCAAGCGAAGTGATAATGGGGCATAAGAACATAAGAGAAGCCAGTGTTGGATCAGGCCAGTAGTCGATCTAGTCCAATACTCTGTCACACAGTGGCCAAAAATACCAGGTGCCATCAGGAGGTCCGCCAGTGAGGCCAGGACACTAGAAGCCCTCCCACTGTTGACCCCCCCCCAAGCACCAAGAATACAGAGCATCACTTGCCCCAGCCTAAGAGTTCCTCTCTATACCTTGTGGCTAATCGCCACCGATGGACCTCTGCTCCATATGCTTATCTAATTCCCTCTTGAAGCCGTCCAGGCTTTTAGTCGCCGCCACCTCCTGTGGCAGTGAACTCCATGTGCTAATCACTCTTTGGGTGAAGAAGTACTTCCTTTTATCTGTTCTAACCCGACTGTTCAGCAATTTAATTGAATGCCCACGAGTTCTTGTATTGTGAGAAAGGGATCAGTCACCAGAGGTCGCCATGACTTCCAGAAAAGTCTTTTTGGTCTCTAAGGTGTTCTTGGACTCAGATCTACTTGTTCTACCACAGATACGGTTGCCAGTCTCCAGGTAAGTCCTGGAGTTCCCCAGGAAGAAGGAGAAAGAGGAGGAGAAGAAGAGGAGGAGGAGGAGGAGGAGAGTGGATTTATACCCTGCCTTAACTCAGAGTCTTAGAGCGGCTTACAAACTCCTTTCCCTTCTCCTCCCCACAACAGAAACCCTGTGAGGTAGGTGAGGCTGAGAGAGCCCTTTCAAGGACAGCTCTTGTCAGAACTATGGCTCGCCCAAGGTCATTCAGCAGCTGCAAGTGGAGGAGTGGGAAATCAAACCCGGTTCTCCCAGACTAGAGTCCGCGCACTTAACCACTACCCCAAACTGGCTCACATCTGATCTCCAGACGATTGAGATCAGTTCCCCTGGAGAAAAGGGCAACTTCGAAGGCGGGACTCTCTGGCATCACCTGCCTTCTGTCCCCAAACTCAGCACTCCCCATCAATGTTCCCTCTAAGCTGAGTTAGTGTGAGCCAGCTCACAGTTTTTTAGCCTCCAGCTCACAGTCTTTTTGGTCTCTAAGGTGTTCTTGGATTCAGATCTACTTGTTCTACCGCAGATACGGTTGCCAGTCTCCAGGTACGTCCTGGAGTTCCCCTCACAACTTTAATGCCAGAGTAGAATTTTCACTCACAAGTAGAATTTTCACTCACAAGACTCCACAGCTTTAGAGGGAGCATAGCTCCCCATGGTCCCCCCCATCTCCAGGAATCTCCCAACCCAGAGTTGGCAACACTAACTGCATAACCAACACAGCTACCCTGTCTGAAACTACCTCGGTCTCTACTGTACCTGAACTCGACAATTTGTGCCAGTCCCCAGGATATATTTTCAGTGCTGTAAACTCTGAACGACCACATTTCTCAGCCTTCCCCGCCTCAGGCCCATCGCCTGCGGTTCCCCACTCCTCCCCGTTATTCTCCCCAGACCAGCCCTGTGAGGGAGAAAGAACTCTGTCGGGCTGTGAGAAATAAACGCCTGCCTTTAGGTTACCCAGAGCGTTTCTCTGACGATTAGAACCGGAGCACGTGCCGAGTGTAAAAAGCCTCCCCCAAGGTTACCCAGAGTTTCTCCACTGCAACAAGATCGTTTCAGCCATGTCAGTCTGCAGTCGGATACCTAGACTGGAGCCCAGCAACAGCTTAGAGAACAACAAGCATTCAAGAGTCAAAGTTCCCAAGAAGGCCTGTAAGACGGAGCTCTTCCGCTGGGCTTTTAGTTGAAGCGGTGGGCATCCAAACTCTTCCATCTCTCGGCCTCCCCTACCGGTAGGCCTGGCTTTGTGTCCAGTGGCCAACTTTGGGGTCAGGAAGCAATTTTTCTCCAGGCCAGTTTGGTTGGAGATCCTGGAGGGTTTGGGGGGTTTTTTTGGTCATCTTCTGGGCATGGAACGGGGGTCGCTGGGTGTGTGTGGGGGGAGGTATTTGTGAATTCCCTGCATCGTGCAGGGGGGTGGACTAGATGACCCTGGAGACCCCCTTCCAACTCTATGAGTCACAAGACCGCTTAGTTCTCCCTGGCCCCAGGGATGCCAAATTAATATCTACCAGAACCAGGGCGTTCTCCGTGGTAGCGCCTGCATTATGGAACCAGCTCCCACATGAGATCAGCGCCCTCCGGGATCTTTACCAGTTCCAGAGAGCGGTTAAGACGGAGTTATTCCGCCAAGCATTCGACAACTTGGATTGAGTATGTAGCACTTTATAGTCGCCATCCTGAGTAGGTTATACTGAGTGTAAATTGTGATTTTAATGTTTTGTATAGATTGTTTTAGACGAGCTGTTTTACTGTTTTTTTTGTTGTACGCCGCCCTGAGCCGCTTCGGCGGGAGGGCGGGATAAAAATCAAATAAATAAATAAATAAATATGATTCTGTGGTCACTGGCACCACTCAGAAGTACATCATAGCATCACTATGAAGGCAATGTCTTATGCTTATGTTTTAATTTTTAAACTCTGTAATATTTGTGATATTCTATTGTTTTCCTGTCATGTCTCATGTGACCTGTAACCTGCTGTGAGCCCGCTTGTAGGGAGGGTGGGATATAAATCAAATAAAATAAATACAATAAATAAAAAGTGTGACAAGATTTCAAGAGTTCACTATTTCATCTTCCCATGCCCCCTAGAGCATCCCAGCTGTAGTCATGGTTCTCCCTTTAAAATAAACTATAACCAAACATGTGTGTAACATCCTTTTATACATAGCAATTTCTAACCCTAATAAAAATCCTTCCTTTTTCAAATGTGTCATGGAACAATCTGGTTTCTAGGCTGCCTTTATCTTAATTCACACATTCACTACATCACTTGACAATGCACAACTGACAGTGTAAACTGGCTCCTCAGCCAGCAATGTATTGGAGGTGTTGTCAGGTGCCATGAATGGTGTTTTATCCATGATAGCTGTTTCAGATGTGCAAATCCTCACTTGATATTGCTGTCATTGCTGCATATGTGAATTCAAAGCCACACTTAATCTTCAGTCAAAACACTATGAACATTTCAAGTCCAGGTAGACTTTCTTGGTGGGAAGTTACTACCAGAAAGAGCACAACAAGAACCTGAGCACGGGCAGAGTGCAAAATGCCTGCCCCAGGAGTACTCAGAGAGTTTCTCCATGGCAACAAGAACCTGAGCATGGGCAGAGTGCCCAGTTTCATCGCCAGCGAGACACAATGAAGGCTTCCAGACAGAACCGGTGGGGGGAAAACGTCTTTTTCTTGTAGAATTTAACCAGAGCTGAAGGGCGACACGAGGGCGGGAAACCGGGGCAGCAGCAGACCCCCTCCCGTCAGAGAGCCTCCCTCGGCCGGGCTCGCAGGGACCGGGCCGCCCGCCAGGGGACGCTCCGCTCTCGGTCGGGCCGCTTCTTCGGGCTCCGAGGCCGCCGCCGCCGCGATGATGGGCGAAGGGGAGGCCTCGGTGGGGGTGGCCGACCCGAAGCCCCCCTGCCCGGTCGTCGGCCCGCTCTCCATGTCGGCGCCGCCCGAGCCGGCCTTGCAGGCCGCAGCTGAGGAAGTGACGACGCCGACGACTCCCACCGTCGCCTCCGCCGCAGCGGTAGCCTTGGCGGCGGCGGCAGCAATAACTACGGCCGCGACGGCCCCTCCTCCGCTGCCGCCGCCGCCGCCGCTTCCCGTGCCGCCGGTGCCCGTGGTCTGGAGCCCCGAGGTGGAGGTGTGCCTCTTTCACGCCATGCTGGGCCACAAGCCCGTCGGTGAGCGAGTAGGCCGCACGCGAGCCGCGGGCTCGAGTAGAGGCGCGGGCCGGGGAAGGAGGAGGGGGAGCGGGGTCGGTCTCCGGGCGGATCACGGTGGGCAAAGCTGCGAGGTCTGGGGTGGGGGAGGCCGAGTCTGTGTGGCTCTTTCTTTCTTTCTTTCTTAATTTCTTTCTTTCGCCGTGGCCATTGTATTAGTGTATCAAAACCCTAATAACAGCATTTGTCTGTTGTGACAGTGAGAGAGAAAAGAGACCAAGTTCCTGGCGCATTTTTATAAAACCTTTCTGTAATACTTTTCATTTATCTCATTTCTTCTAGCCAAGGTATATTGTTTGCTCATTGGTGCTTTTTAAATTCCCATCCTTCTGACATGTATACCGCACTGACTGCCTTTAATCTCCTCCATTTTAGTTTCACAACGACCCTGCGAGGTAGGTTAGGTTGGGAGAAAATGGCTCTCCAGTAAAGAGGTCACCAGCTGTGATTCATGGGTGAGTGGGGATTAGACCCTGGTTTTCCCCAGCCCTAGCCCATCACTGAGCACTGCACCACTTCTGAATCTCCCTATCCTTTTAGCACACGCCTTACAGTGCTGTGTTGGTGCTTGCAAGATTATGTGTGTATTCCCAAGCAATCAATCTAGGTTGCAAGAGTGTGGTTTTATGAAGGCAGTTATTACCCTAGTAAGGAGCTGCGGTGGCTCAAGTGGTTAAGACGCTGAACTGCAGGCTGTGGAAGGTCGGTAGTTCAGCAGTTCGAGACCCGAGTGTGCCGCATGACGGAGTGAGCTCCCGTCTCTAGTTCCAGCTCCTGCCAACCTAGCAGTTCGAAAGCAA